AAATAATGCCACTACATCTAGACCTCTTGTTCATATAGCTGATGACGATGTTCACATTTTATTTGTCGTACTCGTTTCTGTCAACATTTCCGCTTGACATTAAAGAGTAGGCCTATGTGTACTCCCTTTCGGTCATAAGCATAAGCATCTACCGTGTGCTAAGATTTTTCTGTTTTGTCCACTTTTGGCAGATTTGCTAGAGGGACTATGTCACCTTGTTGTAATGTGATTACGGTTAAGAAGCATAACATTGCACTATACGCACTTGAAAAGTTATTGACATACTCTTTTATACATGAAATATGTTTGCACAACAGAAATATGTTATATAAGTATAAGTATAAGTATAAGAAATAAGTAGAACAAATACCTAATACTAAAATCCTCTCTTCTAAACTATTGTGAAAGTTTTTTAATGTTTTTAGATGAAGACTATTCTCAGAGTTTGGTCAAACACGCTTGCGAGTGTTCGCAGGAAAACATGAACAAATACACTATAAGATAATTAAATGAATGTCAAGAGAGTGTTTAAACTGAGATTGTGATGTACTTTTCTGGTCTGTCTGGTCTGTCTATGATCCTGTCTACCTGTGTCACAAAGACGCATAATAGCCCCTACCTCAACTTGAAAATGAGTCTTGCCATTTTCTGTTATGACTGTTACACTTAATACAAACCCATCTATTACACTTAACGTTAGACATTAAAAGTCAAGGATGCCACAGACACTATTTCCTTTTGTCTGTGTCTCTAAACATCACACCAGTAAATAAATCAGAGATGTAGTTACATGTAGTTAATTAATTGAAAGGGGGGGCATGTGTTAGTCCATTTTCTGCACTCTGCACCAACACACAGACACATGTTTTAGGTATTCATCTGACCAAAAGGTTTGATCCGGACATGACTGCAGACTGCAACTTCGTGTTGTCATGATTGTCTTCATTATTGATCTACTTTTATTAAAACAACACAGCGTGAAGTTACTGTCTTCAACAGCACGGTCCCCTGAAATGTTGTAGTATATCTTTATTTTTTTTCTAAATATCTAAATATGTATTTAGCTTAAATATTAGTTGTTAAGTGTTTACAAAGTTGTCATGTCTGACGTTTATATTTTTAAGAACATTTGATATAGTTTATCGTTCTGAATTTTATAACATATATTTCACCAAACCTAAAGGTCTGAAAAATAGGTTTAGCATCAGTCCACATTTCAGCTGGTAGCCAGAAAATGCAAGTGAGCTGAGATTTCATTACTGAGATAATCTACAGATTGTGAAACAAGCTCACAGTTACGTTAGAGTTTTGGATTCTAGTTTATGTTCAATAGTGTTTGTTACTGTTCCACATGTTAAACTCCTCATTACTCCATTGTGAAGACACGTACTGAATAAATCACAAAAGTTTTTCACTGTAGTAGGCCAACTCTGAAACCAGACCAAACAAAAATTAGCTTTAGCCTTAGTTGTAGCTGCTGTAATGTTAGCGAGCTCTTTGTGTTCTTGGCTTCGCTTTGTTCATATACGTCAGTATTCCTTGAATTTGCTTGATTAAATGAAGTATTTAACACAATTTTGGGTAATGTGTGTGAATATAGAATGTAGCACAAGGATCTTTGAAAATATTTTATCTTGAAATATCCATGTAGCACTCGGAATCAAGACTGCTTCTTTTAAAATAATAATACAATTAACACATTTTTCATGAGCTCAGACAGATCGTTTCATCAACCACAAAAGATTAACAAGTGATTCAACATTTTATTTCAACAATATATTGTTGAATTTACATTGATACATCGAAGTAGTGAAGAAAATGGTCAAATTGGCATTACAAACAAACAGTAGTAATGACATTACAGGTGGTCTAGCCAGAAAAGAAAATCTCTACAGGCCAGCATGTTTTGTTCTAGTAAGTAGTTGACGTAAGTTTGAACAATTTCACATGTCATGGAGTCATACTTTTTTGAAACCAGCGACGTACATAAATCTGTTACACATGTACACAGACAGAGAACCTCGTTAATGTCCATCTCATCGTCGCATTCAGACATCACATCCAGAATTTTTC